TCCATCCAGCTCCTCTCTGTCAGGTGACAGCCGCCGGAGAGCCGCAAAGTCGTCATTTTTCCGCTCCGCCGGGTGACAACTGCCGGAGACAACTCGACGACCCATTCCATTGATCTCTAGACTTCAAAAGGAGATCTAGAGATTGCCCACGTCGTCTTTGTCTAAGGAGAGCCTTCGAGGCCGTGGACACTACACGACGATCCTTCCGAACACTCAGGATTCCAGTGCATCTTCGACGCATTGCCGTCGCGACGCCGGAACTCTGTTTTCCTACTTTTAACTTACTTTACGCTTCATTTAGTGATAGTTTTTGTGATTTTAATTTACCAAAATATACTTTGTTCTATTACGATTCTTTCGGCTTTTACAGATCTTAATTTGATTAATTAAATCGTCTGTAATCGCTTACGTAAGAATCGTCGGGCGGAACTTTATTTCTGCCCGATTCACATTCGCCGAGCGCTGACGTCATCCTGACGTCCGCACCCTTATTTCCCTTTTTCGTGAATTTTAAATATATTTCCTTTTCATTTCCTAGTATACAATTCATAGAAAATCGTATTCATTGAGGAAAATTCTGAATAATTACCATATATTATATTACATCCCTATGATCGACCTGGAAAATTACCGCTATTTTTGGAAGTTTTATTGAGTTATAATTGATATATTTGTTCAGAGATACTTCTAAATATCCAAAAATTCATATTTTCTAGTTTTATAAATTTTAGATTTGCGTGATTTAATATACAATGACAAAGTCACGTCAAATTTTGGCGCCATTGCCGGGAATGTATTGCATAATATTTAGTATTTTTCAGTTTTTCTCTTAGAGTACAGAAAAAAATAATTTAACTCTTGTTTTATTTTCTTTTTGCCAATTTTTTTTTTAGAAAAAGGGAACGAAAAGAAGCAAGGCAAGGACTGGAGCATCCTAAAGGAGGGTAACAATTACTAAATTTTTCCCTCGAATTTATTGATTTTTATGCATGGTAGAAGATCCTTGCATCCAAGGCTAGAAAATCCTTTCATTATTTCATTCAAAACTAAAAATCCGAAAGAAAAATTAATTTTGATAGATCTTGAAGAAAGTACAGGTCAAACTGAGAACAATCCTATGGCCATGAAAAATTATTATATCCCTGATTCATTTCAACGAGCATCCAATATTAGAGTCCCATTAGCACCCAATGTTAAATTCAAAATAAATCTAGGAATTTTTCAAATGCTCCTTAATTTTCATGGATTGCCTTTAGAAGAACCTCATCAGCACTTAGAAAAATTTCATATGGTCTGTAATTTAGTTAATCTCCCTCAAGTTACACCGAAAATTATTAAGATGAAATTATTTCCTCATACACTTAGGGACAAAGCTAGCCATTGGCTATCCACATTAGATAGAGAATTAACTAGCTGAAAAGACATAGAATAGGCCTTTCTTCGAAAATTTTATCCCTTAGGAAAAACCCAAAAATATAAGAAAACATATATGGAGTTTTTCTCAAAGATCAGGAGAAACTTTACATGAGACATCAGAAAACATTCAAAGATTTACTTAGAAAGTGCCCTCATCATGCTATACCCAAGTGGCAGCTCAATAGAATTTTTTATGATGGATTATTAGAACAACATAGAAATATGGTTGATTCTATATGTGGAGGAGCTTTTATGGAGAAAACCCCTGATGAGATTTACAACCTTTATGAGAATTTAAGTGAAAATTCGAAAGATCAAGCCTCTTTTGAATTATATGACTAGGATAAGAAGAGAGGAATTTATGAATTGCATCATGATGATGATTCTAAACTTAGAAATGAGGTTAATCAGATTAATCAAAGATTAGAAAAACTTGATTTACTTATTGACAATATTAGAAAGCCTCTTAACCCTCAATTTAATTCAAATAGTACACATCTTATGTATGGTGAAAATGATCATTTCGAATTTCAATATCATCCTAGGCAAGAATTCAGGAAACTGTCCAACAGTAAGATTTCAGCAACGAGAGTCTAGCTGGATAAATTTAGAAAAAAACCCACGAAATGAAAATGTTAGGTCAGTGAATACATTGAGTGAGAATATTTTACCTGATCCTTATTTCCAATTATTAGAAGAAATTGATGAGCCATTAGAAGTAAATGAGAATATTAAGGCTGAAAATATAGTAGCAGAAAATTTGAATAAAATCATTTATTGCTCACAATTGATGAATGAATATAGTGAGGATGATGAGGAGAAAGAGCCCTTAGATGAAGAAACAACAGCTAATCATGGAAAAATCATCCAAATTTTAGTAGAAGGGAGTAAGGACACAAATGAAGAAAAACATATTTCAGGTGAGAAAAAATCAGTTGATTTAGGAGATGTAGGAGACATAATTAATAAATCTAATCATAATTTTATAGCCATGGATGTTGATTGTGAGGATGATGATGTATATCATATACCGAAATTAAAAGATAGCTCTTGAGAAGATGAAAAATTTGATGAGTTGAGAAATGAAAAGCTAGAAAAAGAGTTGATTCAACTAATGGGGAGAAATGAAAATAATGAATATGAATATAGAGATAATTTTCGAAGAGAAAATTTGAATTTTACTGAATTCATTAGATCTGAGATTAAAGAAGACAATCCTTCCATCCTTCAAAACCCACAGCCCATTAGAATTAATTCTAAGCTTGAAATATTTCACTCCTCGCAAATTGAACAAATATGTATGGAAGATAAAACGAAGTAGGGGAAGATTATGCAGATAAAAGAACACATTAAGAAATGGGTGAGTGGAAGAATTAGAGATATCAATTTAGATGAAAAAAATCTAGATTAGGTAAGAGCTAATTTGAAAATTATATGGCCTGATCACATATTATGGTCTATTAATAGAAAGTATTTATTAATGAATGAGAGCCTTACAAAACAAGATAGAAATGAGAAAAGATTCTTTTCAAAATGGAAATATTATTTTTGGGAAAATTTTGTTAATTTCCATTTTGTTTTGGCTGAAAGTATGTCAAGGTATATATATGAAGTATACGAATTTATGCTAAATCTGAAAAAGAATATCATGAAACTTACCTTGGGATACAAATATATTTTGATGGCCATAGATCATCTTATATGATCTAAGAGCTGTCCAGCTGAAGACATTAAATTCAGCGCTGCATGGGAGGCAACCCATGGTTTTTATTTCATTTTGTTTGATTTTTTTTAAGCTCTGTTTTTCTTAGAATTTCGCAGTACTTGTTTCTGTATTTGTTTTTTCGAAAAAGTGCAGGAGGAGGCGTGTAAGACGAAGTGGAAAATTAAAAACGAGGTTGAGGTGATGTCTTTCGGAGCTTTATCATTTATGACAACATTTTTAATGCTAAACTTTGCATATATGCATACTTCACTTGAAAATTATATTTTCTGCATATTCTGTTTCGATTTTTCTGTGTCATTGAGGACAATGTCATTTTTAAGTTGGGGGGTGAAGTATTCATTATTAATTTATGCTGTAGGACGATTAAGAACATATGTTTGCATTTTATTCAACTTAGAACAACAACTAAAAAAATAAAAAAATAAAATAAAATTCGGAAAAACTGCAACATCTATTTTCTAGTTTTCTGTCAGGAACAACAGACTGTCAAAAACAGCAGACAAAAAACAGCCTGAAATTTGAAATTCTAGATACCCTTTTCTCACATTTCAATCCCCTAGACATATATTACTGAAATTCGAAATTACAGCTATAAAGAGGATAGTTTTGATTTATTTTTGACAAATTTATTGCTGCTAAAAATATAACTGAAAACAGAAAATAGAACTGTCAGAACTATCTAATTTACAAATCTTTTACATCATATTGCATGCATGAAAAATTAAATCAATTAGATTGATTGATACCAAAAGATACTAGGAAGATTATTATTGAGTCAAAAGAATGATCTAGTAGCATGAAATGTTGGAATACTCCTTGGATACATGATAGATAACATGGATTTGATTTTACAGATTCTCACTTCATGATCTTGATGGATAATATTTACTTGATGTGAAAATTTGATTGATCATTTGAGTTTAATGGAGATTTTTGCACCCTGATCTATAGGACTTGTGAGGAGAAATCACTTATTTCGAAAAAAAAAAGAGAGAGAGCAATGTGAAAAATCTAGAAACAAAGAGTACACATAGAGGGTGTGAGACATCATTCTCATTGTTGAAAATCGTGTATAGAAAAACACTTGCTGCAAAATAAGTGGATAAAGTGAAAGCCCTGAAAATGAAGAGTACACATGGAGGGTGTGAGACATCATTCTTATTGTCGAAATTTGTCTACAGGAAAACCTACTTATCCACTATATATAAAAAGAAAACAGAGAAAGAAGAAATATAGTGCAAACTTCAAAAATCAAGCCATAGAAAAAGGGAAATGTAGGATCAATATTATTCTTGGATGAGTATTGATAATTGGAACATCTTGTAAATACATCTATGAGTGAAGAAGTGATAAAGATGTGAATAGAAGAAGTGAAGTATAGATTGTTATTCCAAGGAGTGTTTAAACATTTAAGTGCTTGACATCATTCTTAAATACTTGATATAAGAGTCCAAAGTGTCTAAAGGTGTATCATTTCTAATTGTATTTTTATTTTTTTTTGTATTGAAATATGATGTTTGAGATTTGTAAATTTTTATTTTCGTAATTCCATTGCTAAGGGACTAGCAATGGTTTAAGTTGGGGGGTGCGATAAGTCTTCATTATCATGAGTTAATAATTAGTAAATAATATAGTTTTAGCCTTAACTCATGATAAATAGACTTATATTTGTGTTAAAGTGTGAAAAGTGGTTTTTAGTTGATTAATGTGATTTTTTGGGTAGTTATGTGATTTTATACGAATTTATATGATTTTTACAGTCTTACTTTTGAGATAAATGAAGAAAAAGAAATAAAACTAAAATATTGCAAAATGAGGGGACCCGCCGGCCAGCCAGGCACGCAAGCGGGTCGGAAGCTCAGTCGGGGAGTAGCCGTGAGCTGCGAGCAGGAGCTCGAGCGGCTTGGACTGATAGAGGCACGTGTGCGCCACTCCCCTTCCACGTCACCGGTGGCCAGCCGGCTATGGGGCAAGGAGTGGTCGTACACGCGAGAGAAGGGACTTTGCTTAAAAAGCTAACATTACTATATATTCGCCTAAAAAATCGGCGCACAACCGATGTGGGACTAAACCCACGTCACACCTTCCTCAGAAGGGGCAGACAACCGGCGCGAGTTCGAATCCTCCCAGAGTCAAAATTCATATATTTTTATCTGATTATCGCGACTTTCCTGCAGATCGCCGGTGAAGGATTAAGCAACCAGAATCGCTGGATCATCGGCGAAAATCTCGTCAACGCGATTCGCGGAGCATTGCTACTAAAATTGCTGAATGATTCGCGATAAAAGGATCGCGAATCCATCGAGTAAATCATCTCCGATTGATCGACGAACAAGCCGTCGTCGGGAAGAGGACGATCTGCCGGGAGACGAGTCGCCACCTCCTGAGAGCATACCAGATGCGATGAAGAGCCTCCTCTTGCTGCGCAGACCTGAGGATGAAGCTCCCTGACACAAGCCCCACCTCCATCCAGCTCCTCTCTATCGGGTGACAGCCGCCGGAGAGCCGCAAAGTCGCCGTTTTTCCGCTCCGCCGGGTGACAGCCGCCGGAGACGACTCAACGACCCATTTCATTGATCTCTAGACTTCGCGAGAAGAGCTAGAGATTGCCCACGTCGTCTTTGTCCAAGGAGAGCCTTTGAGGCTGTGGACACTGCACGACGATCCTCCCGAACGCTCAGGATTCCGGTGCATCGTCGACACATCGCCGTCGTGACGCCAAAACTCTGTTTTCCTACTTTAAACTTACTTTACACTTCATTTAGTGATATTTATTTGTGATTTTAATTTACCAAAATATACTTTGTTCTATTACGATTCTTCCGGCTTTTACAGATCTTAATTTGATTAATTAAATCGTCTGTAATCGCTTACGTAAGAATCGTCGGGTGGAACTCTATTTCCGCCCGATTCGCACTCGCCGAGCGCTGACGTCATCTTGACGTCCACACCCTTATTTCCCTTTTTCGTGAATTTTAAATATATTTCCTTTTCATTTCTTAGTATAAAATTCATAGAAAATCGTATTCATTGAGAAAAATTCTGAATAATTACCAGATATTATATTACATCCCTGTGATCGACCTGGAAAATTACCGCTATTTTTGGAAGTTTTATTAAATTATAATTGCTATATTTATTTAGAAATACTTCTAAATATCTGAAAATTCGTATTTTCTAGTTTTATAAATTTTATATTTGCGTGATTTAATATACAACGACTAAGTCACGTCAAATTTTGGCGCCGTTGCCGGGGATGTATTGCATAATATTTAGTTGGGGGGTGTGATAAGTCTTCATTATCATGAGTTAATAATAAATAAATAATATAGTTTTAGCCTTAACTCGTGATAAATAGACTTATATTTATGTTAAAGTGTGAAAAGTGGTTTTCAATTGATTAATGTGATTTTTTGGGTAATTATGTCATTTTATACGAATTTATATGATTTTTACAGTCTTACTTTTGAGATAAATGAAGAAAAAGAAATAAAACTAAAATATTACAAAATGGGGGAGACCCGCCGGCCAGCCGGGCCCGAAAGCGGGTCGGAAGCTCAGTCGGGGAGTAGCCGCGAGCAGGGGCTCGAGCGGCTTGGACCGATAGGGGCACGTGTGCGCCACTCCCCTTCCACGTCACCGGTGGCCAGCCGACTGTGGGGCAAGGAGTGGTCGTACACGCGAGAGAAGGGACTTTGCTTCAAAAGCTAACATTACTATATATTCGCCTGAAAAATCGGCGCACAACCGATGTGGGACTAAACTCGCGTCACACCTTCCTCAGAAGGGGCGGACAACCGGCGCGGGTTCGAATCCTCCTAGAGTCAAAATTCATATATTTTTATCTGATTAGCGCGACTTTCCTGCAGATCGCCGGTGAAGGATTAAGCAACTAGAATCGCTGGATCATCGGCGAAAATCTCGTCAACGCGATTTGCGGAGCATTGCTACTAAAATTGCTGAACGATTCGCGATAAAAGGATTGCGAATCCATCGAGTAAATCATCTCCGATTGATCGACGAACAAGCCGTCGTCGGGAAGAGGACGATCTGCCAGGAGACGAGTTGCCACCTCCTGAGAGCGTACCAGATGCGATGAAGAGCCTCCTCTTGCTGCGCGGACCTGAGGATGAAGCTCCCTGACACAAGCCCCACCTCCATCCAGCTCCTCTCTGTCAGGTGACAGCCGCCGGAGAGCCGCAAAGTCGCCGTTTTTCCGCTCCGCCGGGTGACAGCCGCCGGAGACGACTCAACAACCCATTTCATTGATCTCTAGACTTCGCGAGAAGATCTAGAGATTGCCCACGTCGTCTTTGTCCAAGGAGAGCCTTTGAGGCCGTGGACACTGCACGACGATCCTCCCGAACGCTCAGGATTCCGGTGCATCGCCGACGCATCGCCGTCGCGACGCCGGAACTCTGTTTTCCTACTTTAAACTTACTTTACACTTCATTTAGTGATATTTATTTGTGATTTTAATTTACCAAAATATACTTTGTTCTATTACGATTCTTCCGGCTTTTACAAATCTTAATTTGATTAATTAAATCGTCTGTAATCGCTTACGTAAGAATCGCCGGGCGGAACTCTGTTTCCGCCCGATTTGCATTCGCCGGGCGCTGATGTCATCCTGACGCCCGCACCCTTATTTCCCTTTTTCGTGAATTTTAAATATATTTCCTTTTTATTTCCTAGTATAAAATTCATAAAAAATCGTATTTATTGAGAAAAATTCTGAATAATTACCAGATATTATATTACATCCCTGTGATCGACCTGGAAACTTACCGCTATTTTTGGAAGTTTTATTGAATTATAATTGCTATATTTATTTAGAAATACTTCTAAATATCCAAAAATTCGTATTTTTTAGTTTTATAAATTTTATATTTGCGTGATTTAATATACAACGACTAAGTCACGTCAATTAGGTACAGGGGTTCTCGCCCCATCCTACATCACTATTGTTGTTGAAATGACTTTCAAATATAAGTTGTCACAATGAAAACTCATTAGAATGAGAAACCGATACAAGTATGAATTATTTCACCGAAGATGAAGCTCTCTCCAGCCTTGAAGAATTTCTCAATTTGATAGTAGAAGTGTCTCTGATGAGAGCACTCAAATTTTGAGGAAGAATTGGTGAGAAACTGATTACAATTATCATCCACACATGATCATCTCATAATTTCATCACTTAACAAATCATTCATGAACTTCAACTACCAAAAATAATTACCCCACACTTCCATGCAATTATAGTTAGAGTAAAAGGTTCAAGACATAATGGCCTACCGTGGTGTTTTGCTAAGACTCGACCCTCATGATGAATGATGATATGGTTCTATGTAGAGATGATTAATATTATCTTGGGTCTAACATAGATAAACACCATGAAACAGAGTTAAATTTTTTAACTTTGGATGCTCTCCTTTATGACAAGTTCTAAGTGTATCCCCCTTCAAGTAGATGGCCCACAACATGGGTCAAGTATCTATCTAAGGGCCTTATAAAATATTATAAAAAAGGGTGAAGATTTCCTCAAATTGTTCCAACTTACATAGGAGCTTAGGAGATGTTTTGGTTCAACTAAAGTCCACAGGCCTCAAACACAAACTTAAGGTTCAATTCATTGAAGGATTTGCAGCAGGTCATAGGCCTCTCTTAATTTGAGAATTGGACAATGCCATCATTCCTAAACCCAATATCAACCCCATCAATATCAGATCATTTCACTATCCTTATTTCCAAAAGAGGGAAATTAGTTAACTTATTTTAGAAATGTTAATAGTAGGGATCATTCAACATTTAAGTAGTCTATATTTTAGTCATTCTCTATTTGTAAAGAAGAAAGATGGCTATTGATAACTTTTCATTATCATGAGTTAATAATTAGTAAATAATATAATTTTAGCCTTAACTCATGATAAATAGACTTATATTTGTGTTAAAGTGTGAAAAGTGGTTTTTAGTTGATTAACATAAATTTTAGGTAATTATGTGATTTTATACAAAATTATATGAGTTTTACAGTCTTACTTTTGAGATAAATGAAGAAAAAGAAATAAAAATAAAAATATAACAAAACAAGGGGGACCCGTCGGGCCTGCAAGCGGGTTAGAAGCATAGTCAGAGAGGAGCCGCGAGCAGGGGCTCGAGCGACTAGGACCGATAGGGGCAAGTGTGCAGCGCTCCCTTTCCATGCCACCGGTGGGCAGTCGGTTGTGAGGCAAGGAGTGGTCATACACACGCTAGAAAGGGACTTACTTCCAAATGTAATATTAGTATATATTCGCCCGAAACTTTGGCATACAAGCGATGTGGGACTAAACCCGCGTCACATCTTCCCAATAAAAGATTCGATGATTTTAATACCTAAAATACCCCTTATTTATAATAGAGAGACACATGATGATGTCATTAGATAAGGGCATTAGAGTACTTATGTCAATCTCTCTCATGCAAGCGGGCAACCGGCGCAGGTTCGAATCCTCCCAAGAGCCAAAACTCATATTTTTTATTTGATTATCGCGACTTTCCTACAGATTGTCGGTGAAGGATTAAGCCACTAGAATCACTAGATCGCGTTTGAGTTATTAGCTTGTTCGACCCGACACATGAAAATCTCGTCAACGTGATTCACAGATCATTGTTACTAAAATTACTGAACGATTCGCAATAAAAGGACTGCGAATCTATTGAGTAAAGCATCTCTGATTGATCGACAAACAAGTTGTCGTCGGGAAGTGGACGATCTGTCGAGAGACGAGTCGCCACCTCCTGAGAGCATATCGGATGTGATGAAGAGCCTCCTCTTATTACGCAGACCTGAGGATGAAGCTCCATGACACGCGTCCCACCTTCATCCAGCTCCTCTCCATTAGGTGATAGCCGCTGGAGAGCTGAAAAGTAGCTATTTTTCCACTCTGCCAGATGACAGCCGCTAGAGACAATTCGACGACCCATTTCATTGATCTCTAGACTTTGCAAGGAGATCTAGAGATTACCCACGTCATCTTTGTTTAAGGAGAGCCTTCAAGGCCGTGGACACTACACGACGATCCTCCCGAATGCTCAAGATTCTTGTGCATCGCTGACTCATCGCCGTCGTGACACTGGAACTCTATTTTCCTACTTTCAACTTAATTTCCGCTTTATTTAGTGATAATTTGTGTGATTTAAATTTACCAAGATATACTTCATTCAATTACGATTCTTCCGGCTTTTACAAATCTTAATTTGATCAATTAAATCGTCTGTAATCACTTACATAAGAATCACCAAGCGAAACTTTATTTTTGCCCGATTCACGTTCGCCGAGCGCTGACGTCATCCTGACATCCGCACCCTTATTTCCTTTTTTCGTGAACTTTAAATATATTTCCTTTTCATTTCCTAGTATAAAATTCATAGAAAATAGTATTCTTTGAGGAAAATTCTGAATAATTATCAGATATTATATTATATCCCTATGATTGCCTTGGAAAATTACCGCTATTTTTGGAACTTTTATTGAGTTATAATTGATATATTTGTTCAGAAATACTTTTAAATATCTGAAAATTCGTATTTTCTAATTTTATAAATTTTAAATTTACGTGATTTACTATACAACGACTAAGTCATGTCAGCTATTGAAGATTTTTGTCTAAATTATTGTGTGGTCAACACAACCACTACTTTAGATTAACTTTTGATGCCAATTGTCTAAGAACCCTTGAATGAATTACATGGAGCTTTGATACTTTTAGAATTATATCTTTGATAAAGATGCCACTAGATTCAAATTTAGAAAGAAGACAATTTCACAACATCATTTCATGAACATGAAGGAGATCACGAATTTCTCATAACAATGTCTGGACTCTCCAATGATCAGATGATGTTCCATACACTTTTGAATTGTATTTTCTATCACATTGTTCAAAATTTCATGTTAATCTTCTTCAATGACATATTAATTTATAGCATAGACCTGCACATGCATGAGCAACATTTGATTCAAATCTTCAATGTACTTGAAACTCACCGACTATATGTTAGCGAAAAGAAATACTCATTCCAGCAATCACATATCACTTATTTAATATATTTGGTGTCCACAAAATGTGTCATAGTGGACCAAAATAAAGTAAATGCAGCCCTTTAGTCACCTTTGTTTGCAAGCTTACATGAGCTTGAAGACTTCTTAAGACTTTTTAGATATTATTGACACTATGTCATAGGATATGGCTCCATCATATAACCACTCACACAATAACTCAAATGGGAAACCTTCAATTATGGTGCTTGTTAAAGCTAGATTTTTATGTTTTAATTAGTTTTATTATTATTTTTGTGTGTGTTATCTTACAAAATAAATATAAGAATATATTGTTAATTTTATAAGTCTTGAAGTTAAAATATTTAACTTAATTTTTTGATTATTAGAAAAATTAAAATTAAAAATATAAAAATATTGTTCTTGTTGGCAAGTCAGCACTCATTAGTTGACCCAAAGGGGTGTTGTAGTCGAGTGGGTAGACCCAAACCAGGGGAAGCTATGAGTCGAGCTCGAGTGGGGAAGGACTCACTTTGTGCATGTGTGCGTCACTCCTCTACCACGTCTCGGTGGCCAACCGATCGTGGAGCAAGGAGTGTCGTACACACGTGTGCATGTGAGGGCAGACCCTTTTTTACCTTCTCCTAAGATGATCCTAGGCATTATTTTATTTTGGGAGAAGGGATCTCTACTAAGAGATCGTAACTTTAATTTATATTCAGCTCAATTTTTGAAATATTTCTAATGTGGGACTAGAGTTTCTTGTGTGTTTTAGGGTAATTGTTTGGAGTGTTGTGTGATCCAACAATGTTTAGTGAGCCACAACATCAAATAAGTTAGATCTTGTGACTAACAAACTACCACGATCTCAGAAGCATTAAGTAATCTATTGGCAGTTCATGAATTTGACACTACTTAGCATGCATGTGACCATAAATAATGATCCAATGGTGAGCAAAATGCCACGATACCAATGACTTAAGTTTCTGGTCAACATCAATTTGTCATAGGTTGATCCAACATTGCTCAGTGTGCCATATGACTAAGCACATCTGATCCAGCAGCTTGTGAAGCACCACGATATCGAGAACTTAAGTTCTCCCACGTATCACCATTAAAGACAGATAATACTTGATTATTATTCAGTAAAATAGATATTATCAATTATCTTTAAAATTTCGATGACAATCACGAATAGGACAATCTATTCTTTCCTCCTTTTGCA